GAGAAAAGTATACCCTTTGGGAGCCACAAAATGCAATGGTTCATCTTTGAGTTGTACGTTTGTGAATTAGAAACCCTGTGAGTACACGCATCAATTTTGCAAAAGGGCCTGTTCTGTATGGTGAGAGATCCATCCCTCGGGAAGTGAATTATCAAAGCTACTGTCGGATGTAAGGAAACAAAAGCCATGGGATTAAATTAGACCAGGGTGATATGTAGAGAAGCAGGAACCTGGTGTGCTGAGTTCCAGCCGAGAACCACAAGTCTCACCAGACAGATGAGCCTCAAAAAAAATGCTCAGCTAGATGCTAAGTGAAAAACCAGACACGCGTCCTCCCCACCACGCACGCATTCCACGCACACCCGGAGGCCCCTTCTAACACCATTCCATCATAAAACCGCTCTGGGAGGACCGCCTGTTTTACATACAGAGTCTTACATTTCCTTTTCTTTCCAAGGCAAGATATGAAATGCATTGTTTAAGGGGAGTCTCAGAGGCCCCGCCGCCAGGGTTCTGGTGTGGCTGTTGTCGCCACTCTGCTTGTTCCAGCCAATGTCTTTCACGCTATGCATGTTTATTGGTAGTAAGTGCACAGCTGTGGGGTCTGCCCCAGGTGTTCTCTGGAGGCTGAGGAGTGAGGTTGGCATCAGGGCAGGGTCGCAGTGACTGACTCATGCGAGTAGTTGACATTGAATCCCTTCCTGGCCACGCTAACACTGCAAACACACGGGAGGCTGGAGCTCCCCTAAACCCACCACGCAGCGTGGTTTAGTCTACAGCAACTGATCCTTGCTGTGGTCTCTATTTCTGTTCCTCACCGTGAACAACAGACTCGTGCGCCTGGGCTCCAGGCAGAGATCACCCAAACTTCCTGTCCTTTAATGGCGATGCAGCCACAATCATCAGGAAAGGGGAAAGAATTCCAACCTCCAGAGCCAAAAGGTGAGGCCAAATGAATTCCATGCCTTTTAGTGTCTGGAATCCGTGAATAGGGCTCAAGTTGCAAACTGCAGGCATGATCACACCTAGTCGGTTTTGAAACCACCTTGTATTTCTAAGTCGTCTTCACTGAGACATAAAAGCTTTTCTGTTGGTTGGATGGTGACCATTTCTTGTCCCCTCGTCTGGGGACAACGGTCGATTTCATCACACAGAAAAACTGGTGGGCTATGGGGAACTCTGAAAGCGACCACGAGGGTCTCATCTTAAAGTAAAACCAGAACGACTTTGTTGAAACCCACAGCACAAGCTCTGCATTCTAATCGGCTTTGTTCATAGGGTTAATATTTGATTTTCTCAATCCTCACTGCTGGTCTCTGTGGAGGCGCCACACCTGCTTGAGATTAAAGCAGGTGTCCTTCCAGCCACAAGCAGGATCCACACAGGTGGTGCTGGGACAATGTAGAAACGGCTCTGCATGACAGAAACGGGACTCTGAGCACCACGGAACTCCAGCCGCAACGAGGGACGTGCCCAAATATAAAGACATCCCAGGGAGCAAAGACTCTCATGAACGCCGCCGAGAAAAAGGATAACCAAGTGATAAAAGGCAGAGGGTGCCATAATATTTAGTCCCTGCTTCGTCACTGGCAATGACTTGATCTGTTTTCATGTGGCTTTGGTTTACATCTAGAGGGTAACCAGATAAATAAGCCTCCAAACCCTAGATGTTTTTGAAGTGGCAACGCAGCCTTCGTATCAAATCACACATTAGTTCTGACATAAAATAGCAGCAGGTGGGTACGTGAGAGGCCTCTTCCTCCAAAAGTGTGGACTTGGATCCCACAATGTCATCACAGCTATTCCCGTCCCGAGTTACACAGAGATCCTTCCAGCACGTTCAGGTGGACCTCCTGGCCTCTTCCTTGCTCCTAAACTCACATGTCCCGTGTGGAAGGCAGGGCCGTGGTCCCCTAAAGATGTCTGCATCATAATCCCCTAAACCTGTGAGTACACTAGAGGTTGCGTGGAAAAGGGAGATTAAAGCTTGCTAATCCACTGGCCTTAAAATAGGGAGATTTTTCTAGAGTATTGGGTAGGCCCAATGTAGTCACAAGTGTCCTTAAAAGTGGACAAGGGAGGCTTAGAGATGTGGCCACAGAAAGAGGGTCAGAGGGATGCTATTTTGCTGGGTTTGAAGACAGAGGAAAGAAACTGCCAACCAAGAAATGTGGTGACCTTTAGAAGCTGGGGGAGGGGTGGGGGAAGGAAACAGATTCTCTCTAGAAGCCTCCAGAAGAGAACGCAGCCCAGCCAGTGCCCCCTTATTTCAGACCAGTGAGACTTGTGACCGTC